ACTGCCGTAAGCAGCCAGACTTGAGCTGGGAGTCACCTATTTTGATGTTGTGCTTTTTTGAAATATAATAATCCCCATAGTCTGTGTGTGTGTTTTTTTTATGTGTGTGTGTATTTCCAAATCCTGTCAGAGTGCATATGCTCTGGATGCAATGTGACTGATAATCGCTGCGTGTTCTGTGTGTCATGTAATGATAGGAATATCTGTGTTTTCTGTGTGTGCGTGCATATTTGTTGGGAGGAATATCCGTTCTCCTCATGTAGACACCCTTGTCCTCAGATAACACTGTCAAGGTAATACCATTCTCCCTGTGCATCTGATGCAGTAACATTCACCCATCACAGCACAGGCAATGAGAGCAAGACAGAGGGGGTGAGAGGGAAGCAAGAGGGGGAGGAGAAGAAGAAAAGGAAAGCTTTTAATTTCCTCAGCAGCACAGTCAGTGACGTTTTTACATCTGCACAGACAGACAGAAGTTGGAATGAATTGTAGATGAGTTTCCAATTAAATGACGAGCTACATTTGATTTTGTGTACCAAGAAAGACAAAATGTAGATTACTTTTAGAAACTGTAATTGAGGATGAGCTCACCTTGACAGTATTTGAACTAAACAAGTGCATGCTCCTGAGTTACATTTTGTTAGCAGGCATCACGCAAAGTCTCTATTAAACGTGTGTATTTAGGCATTTACATTAAAGATTGTGTAAGTAATGATCCAGTTAATGCTGTTTGTTGTTTTTGCTGATCAAGTACTGTCAATTTCTTTCTGTCACTAGAGACAGATAACATGTACATTGTGCAGAATGCTTAATGGTTTACAAGTAGCTTGCTTCAAATGTCAAGGTCATAGTAGTTTACACCAACAAAGGAGCCTATTGTCACTCAACCCATATACATACCGCAGTCCTTGAACTCTAAGTAACTAAAATCTCTCCAAACAGTTCTCAGAGATATCTAGACCTAATGATATTCATTTCTTTGCCTTTTCTACATAGTTTACCTTTGCAAGAAACATTTTGGGATAAATCTCATGTACATGGTAGACGCTAAAACACAGTGTTGATATAGCATTTCCACTTACTGCCATCATCACCAAGGCAGCAAAACAACCTCTTTTCCAGCTTATTTTTGCTCTTGCTGGGGTAACCAATAAAGGTCACATCCAAATGAGCTATCTTAGGACATACAATAAAATAGCTGAAATGTCCTTCCAAAAACATCTCACATCCCGCTGATGTGCTCAAGAGAGAACCTTTCTAATAACTGATCCTTTTATTGCCTCACTTTTCTTCGAAACAGCCTGTCAAATAAGGGACTTATAGTGCACTTAACAATGGCTAAAAAAGAAATCTAAGAGGCCAGCATTGATTTACAAACCCAGTTTGAAAATGTTTTTTGCTCCAAATGGTGCTTCAGAACATTCTGATTGCACCCTGAGTGCCCTCAGTGATAGTCTTTGAAGTGCTTGGAGCCGTGTGCTGAAGCTCAGTATGTGCTTATATCCGGAGCTTTTGTTAGTCACTTCATATGTACTGAGTCCTGTGCCTGTGCCATCATTATTCAATGATTCACACTGTGCAGCCAAAACACTCACTCTTATCTGTTAAGAGGCTGCAGAGACACAGTCAGACAGCTCTGGGTGGGTGGATGGGTGGGGAACGAAGAGAGAGAGAGAGAGAGACTCTTGCTCTCTTGTGGGAAACGACTTTCCTCTCTTCCTCACAACATGAAGCCAGAGAGCATCCCGACTTCAAGAGCTTTAGATCCTGAATATTCACGCTGGTGGCATTTTACCATGTGTAGGCGGTGAGGGTTTGCAGAGATAGGAGAGAGTGTGTGAAGTATTGATCACTGTTGCTGTTGTCCTTGTTTGCTCTGTCTCACAGTGCCAGCTAACTCTCAGAGAAAGACAGTGAGACATAGATACAGCGAGAAGGTTGGCGTTATAAGACACATTTATTCAATGGGGATGAGATGATTAAAATAAGGATTATTTTAGAGAGATATGTTTAAGAACAACAAAAGGAATGATGCATGCGACAAATAAAAGGAGGCCACATGAATACTGGTAATTCCTTTTATTTCTGTGCGTCAGTTTCAGACGCTACAACTTTGCAAGCCTGAATTATATAATCTCTTTGAGATATACCCTTTTTCCTTCTGTGTTCCAATTATTTGAGTCAGTTCCTAAATTTCCCAGAATGCCTTTTAACAAAGTAGTTAAAGTCTATGATTGCAGCAGTGTCTCTTATTAAAAATGAAAACTATCTTGTGGCTGCAGTGCATTGTTGTCCATTACATAAGACTCCTGCTTGTGAAGATGTCATTATGTCATTGGTGTAACATGAGTATTAGTAGGGTCTTCTGTGGAACAATCCAGGCAGGTTATGTGTGGGAATAAGAAAACAAAACCAATACACAACTAAATATAAGCAGTTATATATAATGGATAGCCAGAAGCAGTTTGGGTGGATTCTTCTTCTAAGCTCTTGATGTTTCTGTTAATTGTTTTTAAAACTTACATTTTTAGTGGGTGAACAAGGTTAATGAGCAATGAAACCGTTTCTACAGATCCACTGACCTTCCTCATGCAGTACATTTGTGGGAGAAACAGAACAGACTTTAATAATCTGAAATTGTGCATTTGTGTTGCCAATTCAGGGTTTTTTATTTTTATTTTCCACTTCTCATTCTTGCTGGCCCTTTAACTTTCCCCCAGCAGCTCTTTTGTTACAGTATTTGCCTGTGCTCCATCATTGTCAATTAAACTCCAATCACTAACTGAAATGATTTTTAGCTCCAGGGTATAGGATTAGCTATATGCTTTCATTATAACATTATGATACAGAACTAGCGCATGAACTGCTAAACCCAAGAAGTCTCAGATTTACATATTAAAGCCAGCTTTTTTATAATATTCCCTTCTCACCAATACAGCCACAGAAATTAATTTTCACCCACACAAAACCTTCATTTGTACAAAATAGAATTGGCTGCATTCAAAATGTGTTACCTTTCTTAGATTCCACTGATAAATTGCCTGTGTGTGTCATACGAAGGTGGAGATGAAAGAAAATTGAGGGGGATGATCCATGAGGTCAGACCTGTGAGAACAACATTACACTTCAGAGTCAGTCAGTCACAACTGACACCACAAACTAAGATAATTGGTGAACAATTGGTGAAGTGAGTGTAATCAGATTAAAGGGGAACATTTTAAACCAAAAAGACCATTTCAAACACCAATACACAACACACAACATACCACACATAGATAGAATGGCCCTTTCCTCTTCAACAGCCCCCAATTGCCATGTGGTTTCCCAGGGATCTATCTTTGGTTCCCTGTTGTTTTCACTTTACATGTTGTCTTTGGGCATTTTTTGGAAGAAATAACATACATTTCAAGCGAATGTTCTAGTTAAACCTACTGAAAATGGCAACTTTGTATTGGATGTTTAGTGATGGATATCATAGAACTTTATGCACCTTAATGAATCTGAATGAAATCTAAGATGCTTTTATTTTAATCAGCACATTCAAAATAAATCTTGGCAGCTTGTCCACTATTGTCAAGTATGCCACCTGTAATTTGGGCTACGTTTTTATTCTTTTGTTTTATAGATATGGGTTGTCTAGTTGAGGCGCAAAATTAAGTCCTTTTTAGGGAGAAAAAGTAATCCATACTCTTTTTACATCACTGTTGGAATACTCTCTGTACTGGACTCAGAAAACCGGGTTCGACCTATTATTGCTGTCATCACTGTGAGGTTAAGAATTGATTTTAAGATCACTGAAGAAAACATTTGACAGATTCAAGATGTACAGGATTAATCACTCCAGGTCGGGAAGCAGAATGCATAGTTGTGTGCCACAGTATCATGGAAATACTACCACTGTCAAGCACAAATTCTGCATATAGTAGCTTTAATGAGGGTTATGAGACTGTGACACAACCATTTCATTTTGAAGCTCAGACACTGAGACAAAAAAGAAACACACTTTACCCATGACTGCCTATTTCAAAATAACATTTCAGTAATAATACTATGATTAACTGGCTGTGTTAAAAATAGATAAACATTGACAGAATTGCTACAACTGAAAAAACAGGAAATTGACCATCCCCAATGAATACCTCTTAGTACTGAAAATCCTTTACAGGTGGAGGGGTAAAAAGCAACACATTTTGTATGTTTGTTAATGTGTGCCTGTTCATGTACCATACTGTATTATGTGTTGCCAGGTTGTTGAACTTTGTGTACATATTTTCCATGTGTATATTTTTACACTGAGGGAGGAGTTTGGGGAGATCTCTTGGCATCTGATCTGGCTGATATATCGGGGCCTTGCTCTACTCTCCGCTTAGCTCCCTTCTGTGTGTTGGAAACATGGCTGCCTTGTGTTGCCCTGTTAGGCCCTTGAGATAACTCCCAGAGCATTTCTGTCTCAGTGACGTATGTGCATGTTTGTGTCTATTCACCCACAGTGCAGTTTTGGTTCAAATGTGTTACTCAGTCAAGGCTCAACACAAAACATTATGTGAAATGTATTTTGGGTGACATTATACATTTTTCTTCTCTGCTGAGCAAAGTTAGTGGAAAGTGGAAGTGTGGCTGGACACAAATATACTGTGATGGATAATGACAAGAAACTTCATTGCTAGACTTCCAAAATTCAATAGCTGTTGCAAAATTTAATAAGTACAGCTTACTGGCAGTTTTATGTGACAAATGACACAAATCAGAAAGATTTTTCAAAGGAGAAGCAGAGATCTGACAGCAGTGATTGTTAGTCACCAACTGCCTTTCCCCACTCTCTGTCCCCTGGAGCCATAGCTGAGCCACACAGGAACCTGTTTGTATCTGTTTACCTTTTTCTGCCTTGCTCACACACAACCTCTGCTTGCTAAGGCAAGTTCACAAGAAGTACTCACTCTCTCTCTTGCGCTTTCTACCCCCTTGCTCCTCTTCTCTCCCACTGTCCCTGTGTTGTCTAGATGGAGGAAGTAATAGCACGCATGCAGGATGAAAAAAATGGCATACCCATCCGAACAGTGAAAAGTTTTCTAACGAAGATTCCCAGTGTTTTTTCAGGTAAGGTTTTTATATTTTTGCACTGTTCTGCTTTGTCATCTCCTTTCATCTCCTCTTTTCTTCTCTTCTCTTCTCT